CAAAGTCTGCTTTTAAATCAAGTAAAGGGAGAACTTTCTTAAAAATATTCAATCAAGAGGAAAGTGGTATAAAATGCTAATCCTTAGGCATATCAAATTGTTCCTTCAAAAGTACCTTATATTGTCAGATAATTAAGATACAACTGGATCTATGAACATATTCAAAGGTTATAGAGAGCCTGGAGATTAAGACAGAAATAAATTAGGTAAAATAAACAGAGAGATATTTGCTTTGATCCAAACATTAGAATGCTATATAGAAATGCCATAACAAATACAATATGCTAGGCTGAAAATGTCACTAGAAGAAACATTAATTACTGTTTTTTATTCAGAACTAACTGTAAAATTTTGAACTTGCTTTTCTAACTTTAAACACAAATGGAGTTTAATATGTATACATACATTTGCTTCTAAATACTAACCAATTAATTATATGATCAATGTATATAAAAGAAGGAAATAACATATTCCTCTGTCACTTTTCATATGTTAAGACTAAACAGAACATAAGGAGCATTCATGGCCACCACTGCCTTTTCTTTCCTGACTCCACCCATCCACTTATCAAAATGTTATTATTTTCAGAAAAAGAGTGGATATAATTCATGTTTCATATCTTCTTTTGAAATCATATTACTCCTATTGTTCAATTAAAAAACATATAGGTTCAAAATGTTAGTATCTTGTGAAACTTTAATTTTTGTTTTTGTTCTTTTTATTTAACTGTGGATGAAACATTTGACTTGAGGAGCTTTTATAAGGGGGACTTCCCAGGTGGTGCTAGTGGTAAAGAACCTGCCTGCCAATACAGGAGACTCAAGACACAGGTTCTATCTCAGAGTCTAGAAGATCCCCTACAGTAGGAACTGGCAACCCACTCAAGTTTTCTTGTCTGGAAAATTCCATGGACAGAGGAGCCTGGCCAGCTATTGCCCCTGTCCATGGGGCTGCAGACAGTTGGACATGACTAAGCACACACACAGCTTTTGCAAGGGATGGCTAAATACAGGTCAGCTTTCTAATGGTGTTTTTTGAACTTTATTTTTTGTTGTTGTGACATTTCAACTAATCATGAAATATCATAGATGAAATTAAGGCAAACTAAATGTATATGGCATAACATTTTATTTTGTCATGAGTCATATTAAAGTAACTTTTTGTTTGATTACACATTTTTAAAACAAGTAGTTTGTTGGCATTTATGTAGTGTACATTTTAAAATAGTTTTTTCTGTGTAACTTAGTATATCACACTTTATTTAGGTTGGATAGAGATAAGATTTCTAAACATAAGCTTTGCAGAAGTACATGCAGGTTTATGCTGTAGGATTAGGTGATATGCTGTTGTTCATATATATATATTTCTGAAAAAATATTAAACAATTAATTACTGTAAAAAGCACTTAGCAGAGAACTCTGTAGATGATTTTCAGTAGATGTTTTTTGCCTTCTCCTAACTTCATTTCATAATCTATGGGTTACCCCAGCAGGTAAATAAAACAGTTTGAATGCAAGAAAATAAATATTCTACTTAAAGAATATAAAATATTTTTCTATGAAATAATTATCTAAAGAAAACAATCTTCAAATTGTCTCCTAATTTAATTATTATTAAAGAAAATCCTTTTTCCTAAAAGGTTAAGGATTACTTGGTTAAACCTGTTACAATCTTTGTAATAACCACAAAACAATATTACTGTATATTACTACATTTCCTAAAATAACAGACATATTATTCTTATACCTGGAGGAGGACATAGCAATCCACTCCAGCAGTCTTGCCTGAAAAATCCCATGGACCGAGGAGCCTGACAGGCTACAGTCATGGGGTTGCAAGAGTCAGGCACAACTGAATGACTAAGCACACACATTATTCTTTTTTTTTTCATTTATTTTTTTAGTTGGAGGCTAATTACTTTACAATATTGTAGTGGTTTTTGTCATACATTGACATGAATCAGCCATGGATTTACATGTATTCCCCATCCCAATTCCCCCTCCCACCTCAAGAAACATACTTTTAAAATATCCACTTTAAAAATTAATTTAAAAGAATAAATTGAGGGAACATTTGATCTCATGTGAATTTATGATTTATTCTGTTGGAAGTTTTGGGTTGTGATACCAGTTTGTGTTGGTCATATTCCAAGTATCCTCCTTTTCTTTCTTTAATATAAAGAAATCTGTTACTAAATGAAATGAATAGCTGTTTACATTTTTGATTTCTGAAATTTGTGCTTTATATTTTAAATTAATTTTCATTGGACTGTCAGTCAGTTCAGTTGCTCAGTCATGTCTGACTCTTTGCGATCCCATGGACTGCAGCATGCCAGGCTTCCCTATCCACCCCCAACTCCTGAAACTTGCTCAAACTCATGTCCATCGAGTTGGTGATGCCATCTAACCATCTCATCCTCTTTTGTCCCCTTCTCCTCCTGCCTTCAATCTTGCCTGGCATCAGGGTCTTTTCCAATGAGTCAGTTCTTTGCATCAGGTGGCCAAAGTATAGTTGCAATATAGTTGCTTTAAAATGTTGTGTTTTTACTGTACTGCAAAGTAAATCAGCTATAGGTATATATGTATTCCATTTTTTTTGGATTTCCTTCACATTTAGGTCACCACAGTGCATTAAGTAGAGTTCCCTGTGCTACACAGTACTTCTCATTAGTTTTTTATTTTGTGCATAGTATCAAAAGTGTATATCTGTCAATCCAAATCTCCCAATTCCTCTCACCACCTTGGTATCCATATATTTGTTCTCTACGTCTGTGTCTGCATCATTTTTCTAGATTCCACGTATGTGCTTCCTAGGTGGCCAATGCCGGAGACATAAGAGATGTGGGTTCAATCTCTGGATTGAGAAGATCCCCTGGAGAAGGAAATGGCAACCCACCCCGGTATTCTTGCTTAGGAAATCCCATGGACAAAGGGCTATAGGCCCTAGCTAAGAGCCTAGTGGGCTAAGGTCCATAGGGTCTCAAAGAGTTGGACACTCCTGGAGCAACTTAGTATATGGTATTTATTTTTCTCTTTCTGACTTTACTCTGTTTGACACTAAGTCCATCTGCGCTGTGCTTTACTTTAGAATTTAAAAAGATTTGGCTGTGCAAGATAGGATGTGTGCTAATTATGCCTGCAGCAAGAGGCTAGTCAGAGGAATCTGTCCTGCAAACCCGAGGTGGAAAGAAGGCATGAACAAGACAAAGAACATGGTTTTAGTTTTGCCCGCGCGCGCATGTGTGTGTGTGTGTGTGTATGTGTGTGTGTGTGTGTGTGTGTGTGTGTGTGTGTGTGAAGTAGAGCAGTAGAAAGAGGAAGTTGACGGGGCAGAGGGATGTATGGCTTAAAAGAAAGGGTGGTAAGCCTTGTCTCTGGGGCTTTGTGTGACGATAAATAAATATGCTCCTACTAGGAGAGTTGGCTTGAAGCCCTGGGGAAAAGCTGCTTCCTCTGTAGTAATCTCTGCTTTAGAGTTTATGGTTAATTATTTTTACAAATCATTTCCCTCTTGCCCTCTTCACTCCAATTCAGTTGCTAAGTGACTGGAAGATAAAGTGACCTCTGAATTTATTCTTCTCATTACATTGTTAGATTTTTTTCCACATCACTTAAAGGATGGATTTGTTCGTTGTAAGTTCAACACCTCTCAAAGATTCAAGTTGACATTTCACCTAATTAATAGCCTCTGTTGGCCTAGTTATTCTGGGGATGCATAATTAAGGCAATAATGCTACTTTTTCAGTGGAATTGTATTTTATTTTGCCTTTTAAATGGATTGCCCAAAGGTTTATTGCTTTTTCTGGCTTAACGCATATTATCATGCCCATCTGTGTTAAAATAAACATCCTTAGAAAATTTAAAAAATTTTCCATCCTCAGGAAAAATTTAAAAAATTACTCTAATAGAAACATTTGAACTCTGAGGATAAAAAAAAAAACCCATATATATGTACAGTATTTTAATTTTATGGGAACTCATTCAGTTCAGTTCAGTTCAGTCGCTCAGTCGTGTCCAACTCTTTGTGACCCCATGAATCGCAGCACGCCAGGCCTCCCTGTCCATCGCCAACTCCCGGAGTTTACTCAAACTCATGCCCATCAAGTTGGTGATGCCATCCAGCCATCTCATCCTTTGTCGCCCCCTGCTCCTCCTGCCCCCAATCCCTCCCAGCATCAGGGTCTTCTCCGATGAGTCAACTCTTCGCATCAGGTGGCCAAATTACTGGAGTTTCAGCTTCAGCATCAGTCCTTCCAATGAACACCCAGGACTGATCTCCTTTAGGATGGACTGGCTGAATCTCCTTGCAGGGCAAGGGACTCTCAAGAGTCTTCTCCAACACCACAGTTCAAAAGCATCAATTCTTTGGCACTCAGCTTTCTTCATAGTCCAACTCTCACATCCATACATGACCTCTGGAAAAACCATAGCCTTGACCAGATGGACCTTTGTTGGCAAAGTAATGTCTCTGCTTTTTAATATGCTATCTAGATTGGTCATAACTTTCCTTCCAAGGAGTAAGCGTCTTTTAATTTCATGGCTGCAGTCACCATCTGCAATGATTTTGGAGCCCCCCAAGATAAAGTCTGACACTGTTTCCATTAAAGGCAGTAATTTTTACCTTTTATCTTTGAATTGTTCACTTTCATACTTGGAGTCCCCTCTGTAGCACCTGACAGAGTGGATACTGGATATATACATATATTGTTCATTGACTTCATGTGCTAAGAATTCAAATTTTCCTTTTAAAGTGAAGTTAGTATAAAAATGGTTATATATATCATAAGTAATTCTGACTAAAAATTAAAATAAAACTACAGACATTGTTTTTCTTTATTTATTTGTTGGCATTGTTTTTAATTTTACTCTTTGGGACTTGTAGTCTGTATGTATTTATCCTCTGTGTTGTGAAATGTTATTTACTTATCTAATCAAATGTATATATAAAGATACATAGTTAACTCTTACTATGTAAAAAACATTCTGCTCCATGCTTTACAGATATTGTTAATGTGGAATTGCTAAGGAAAAAGAAATCATCTTTTCCCTTACCTGGGTCTTCCCTGGTGGCTCAGAAGGTAAGGAATCTGCCTGCAATGCAGGATTCACTCCCTGGGTCGGGAAGATGTCTTGGAGAAGGGAATGGCTATCCACTTCAGTATTCTTGCCTGGAGGATTCCTTGGACAGAGGAGCCTGGCAGGCTGTAGTCCATGGAATTTCAGAGTCAGACACAACTTTCTTTTCTCGTTACCTCAGGTAACTATTTAGAAAAAAAAAAAAAAAAAAACCATATGTAATCACAAGTGTACACACACACAAACCTACAAATGACTGTGGGTGAATGGAGCATGCAGATGTCACATGCTGAGTTTTCTGTGAATATGATGATGGCTGTGGTGGTGGGAGGTACATAGAATTTCCTGCGGTACTGAGTAGCCGAGCTTTATACTTCTTGATATTTAGATGGTAAAATGTCATGACGAAAAAGATATAACCAGGCAAAAAAAATAGTAGTTTAGATCTCACACCTAGACAAAATAATTTTTGTGATAATGTGATCTGAAATGGAGGTATCTGTTAAACCCACTAGAACCAATTCAAGAAATATTTTGTTAGATTTATAAATTATAAAAATGATGAAAAATCCTGTTTCTCTATGTTAATGTAATTGTATACAGGATATTCTAGAAAAATAAGTAAAACACTTGTGTCTGGGTGCAAGCCCCACATACATGAATTTTAGGAACATTTAGAAGAGGAAAAAAAAAATCAGTTGCTCAGAGGTTATTTTTGTTGTTGTTTAGCCGTGTTCAACTCTTTTGCAACCCTATGGACTTTTGCCCGCCAGGCTCCTCCATCCATGGAATTCTCCAGGCAAGAATACTGGAGTGGGCTGCCATTTCCTTCTCCAGGGGATCTTCCTGACCCAGGGATCAAACCCACATCTCCTGCATTGGCAGATGTGTTCTTTACCACTGAGCCATCTCAGAAGCCTCAGAGGCCATTATTGGTATATTTAAAATGTTTGCTAGCCAACGTCTTGAGGAATCTTAACCTGTGTTTACTGCATAGTATTTGGGACATTTGAATTAGAGTCCTTATTGCCTCACTGATGAGGTATATGAATTTGGAAGATTTCCTAACTGTTTAACCATTAGGCATCAAGTTTCTCATCTGTGAAAAGAAGTTGCTTAGATGCTTGCTATGTTTTATTTCACTTCAAAAAGCTTTGCATCTGTTATTTTACCATATCCTGTAATAACATTTTTCCTTATTAAAAAGAGACAGTCTTCATTGTAAAAACTGGAAAATACATAAAAGCACAAAGCACATTTCTACCTCTGTAAAATTATATTCATATCTATCCATATCCATTTAGTTTTTAAAAGATTGAAGTTGTTGCTGTTTAGTCACCAAATAGTGTCTGACTTTTTGCGACCCCACGGACTGTAGCCTACCAGGCTCCTTTGTTCATGGGATTTCTGAGGCAGGAATACTGGAGTGGGTTGCCTTTTCCTCCCACTGGGGACCTTCCCGACCCAGGGATCGAACCTGTGTCTCCAGCATTGTCAGGCGCATTATTTACCACTGGGCCATCAGGGATGCCCAGAAGACCAAGGACATATTGTAATATATTTCTGTAATGTTTTTCTACTTTATAATATATTGTGAATATTTATCCATCTTATAATTTATAAATGCTTAAATGGAATTATGATATATGCTTTTACAATAATTATTTTATTAATCCATTTTACTGAACACTTCATTTTGCAATTATTTTACTATATATAATGCTGTGGTGAACATTCTTAGAGATTAATATTTGTAAGATATTTGATTATATCTCTAGCACAAATTCTTAGGTATGGAATTACTTGTCTTAAATGCATTTTTAAGCAATTGAATACCTTGTTGTCAAGCTACCCCCATAGTGAATGGATATTTATTTGCAACACCTATTGCTTCATTCAACAAATATTTATTTAGTGCTTATTTTATATTGGGTAAACATGAGTGAAGTATTGAGAAAAATGAATGTTTGGGAGGAGGAGAGCAGGATAGGTCTGTTTCTCTGCATTGAATGTTGTTTCATCAAAAAAATTCCTCTATTTGGTGAGTAAAAAGTGAAAAGTGAAAGTGTTAGTCACTCAGTTGTGTCTGACTCTTTGAGACCCCACAGACTGCAGTCTGCCAGGCTCCTCTATCCATGGGATTCTCCAGGCAAGAATACTGGAGTGGGTAGACATTGCTTTTTCTGGGGGATATTCCCAACCTAGAGATTGAACCTAGGACTCCAGCTTTGCAGGTAGATTCTTTATGATCTGAGCCACCAGGGAAGCCCTTGGTGAATAAAATGCAATCTTATTTTTTGTTTCTTTGCTATGAAGATCAAAACCCGTAAATAAATTACTTTGATAGCCGTTTTTGTATTGGGATTTTTTGTTGTACTGACTACCTTGCTTAGTGTCTGTATCTCTCTTTGCTGAAGGAGGAAGGTGATCTCCAATGTTAATTAGTTTTCTTTCAACTGGTTGCTAATCATACTATGTCTTGTCATCAAAATTAGAATTTTTCTTATCAACATTAGAACACTTTTCTTTCTATTATATGTTGGTGATAAACTGATCTTTCTTGTTTGTACTTTTTATTGCTCTCATTTTGTTAGTTCTGTAGTGTGTTTTAGTTGGTTTATTTCTAAAACATAATTTTTCCTACCCACTTTATTTTATGTCCATCAGTCTTCCTTCAGTCCAATCATTATTTTCCGGGGATTCTGACTCCTTTCTCTAGTTGTTTTTAAGATTTTATCACTGTGTTGGCTGTTCTACAGTTGGTCATGATATTTCTAGGCATGGATTTATTCTTATCTATCCTGCTAAGCTAAGCTATTCTTATCTATCCTGCCAGGCTTTCCTGGTGGCTCAGAGGTTAAAGCATCTGCCTGCAATGCGGGAGACCTGGGTTTGATCCTTGGGTCGGGAAGATCCCCTGGAGAAGGAAATGGCAACCCACTCCAGTACTCTTAGCTGGAGAATCCCATGGACGGAGGAGATTGGTGGGCTACAGTCCACAGGGTCACAAAGAGTTGGACACGACTGAGCTACTTCACTATCTACTATCACTACTATTCTGCTAAGCACTTCATTATGTTTTTCAGCTTTTAAGAATTAAATTCAGGTTATTACTTAATTTTATTACTTCAGATATTGCCCCTTTGCATTTTCTATTTATTTGCTTTGTTCTTTCTGGAACTCCCATTATATTTATTTTTGACCTTGTATCGCATATGTCTCTCAGTCTTTTATATTTTTCAACTCTTTATTATTCTGTCACAAATTCCTGTGAATGTCCTACCAGCTCATTAGCTCAACTGTTTCAATTTAACCTGTTTAACCTATTAGGCTTTTAATTTAAAAGCTATGTTTTTCACAATTTCTGTTTAGTTCATTTTCAAATCAATCCATTTTTCCTTTTATCACATCAATTGCTTATTTCTTATGACATTTATTTTGACTCTAATTATTTTGCTCATTCCTACATATGGTCTTTCTGGTTTTTTCTGTCATGTCTGAAATTCTTGTGGTGGTAATATTTCTTTCATAGTATCTAACGATTCTCACTGGTGATGTTTGCTTTCTCATGATACTTACAGAAAATATATGATTCATCTTTTAGTGTTTTTCTTTTTTCTCTCATTTTTGGTACCTGGTAATTTCCAGTGGTGTGTTAGTAAATGTTTAATTATAAGCTCTCTGAGAAAAAGTGCTTGGGTTTGTAGCATATCCCCAGCATAGCCAATTTTAAACAACTGAAGTAGCGTCATTGAGCATGGAGGTGGGAAGAGATGTGCACACTCAGATTTTATAAGCTTATTAACTTCAACATCACTGGCAGGTTTCCTTTTTTACTATAAATTCAGCTGTCTGTTAATTTTTTGTTATATTTTACCCAGCACATGTAGAGTTTTATGATATAAGAGTTTCAGTTAGCTAACTTTACCAGGTTTCCAGGACTGGAAGCAATGCTCTACGTCCAAAATTCAGAAAGCTTAAAAATGTTTGTACGTGTTATAATTCTTGAGTTAGTGAATTTCACCATTTCTACATCTTTTATTTGATATGTTCTATCTCTTAACAGTCCACTCCCTTTCTTCTTCATTTGCCTCTTTCCCCATCTCTGTTTGCAAAACAGTCAGGCATGACTTATGACTAAATAACAACAAAATACAACAACCCATCTCTTACATTTCGGTCTCTATTGCTTTATTTCTGCTAAGTAAGCTTATCAGAGGACTTCTGTGGAAAGAATCATCTTGTTATATAAATAGTATCTTAAGAGATACGTAGCTTTTAGAGGTAGACAAACACTGATTCCTTGAAAGGAGAGTGTATTTTCTGATGCTAATTATGTTCTCCTAGATACTTGTGGGAAGAGTGCTAGATGGTGAGATGGTAAATATTTTAGACTTTACAGGCCATATATTACCTCCACCAATTACTCAACTCTGCCACTATAGTGTGAAAGCAGCCTTAGATATATGTAAATGAATCAATGGTCTGTGTTCCAATAAAACTTTATTTACAAGCAGGTAGTGAGTTGAATTTGGTCCATGGACTACAGCTTGCGGAGCCCCGCTCTAAATGATAGTCCATGGATGTAAAGACTTAATAATATTTTAAAGTGAACATATAAACAGTTGTTAATAGAAAATTAAATTTCATTTCATTTTCTATATCAGCACTTGGAAAGATAATTACTAGTTTTAAGATATAATTACTTTTTTTCTGCACATAGTTGGAAGAATTGTTTTGGGCATAGAAGAGGCAGTGTTTTGTGTAATTAACAGTGACTTTGTATTTTAATAGTGTATATATGCTTGCAGGCTATTAGTCATTTATAATAAGTGTGAGATGTTTGAAATGCAAAAATTATTTACAGACAATGAATTTGTTGTGTACCAACTCCACTTGGCAACTGCTGGACCTTAGGCTATTTTTGGAATCCATAGTTCATTTGGTTTTCCCCTGTGGATATTGCATTTCAGTGACAAACCATGGGAGCCTGGAGCTGCCC